CACTTTCTCTGAGACAGGCAGGAGCAGAAAGAGGGAAGGAAGTAAAGAGGCAGGCAGAGAGAGGCCCTACAGGGCTGGGAACCGGTGCGGGAGAGAAACGCCCCCGCTCTCCTGCTCCCCCCTCCCAGGCTGCCGCACACCAGCCGTTCACTCCCGCCCAGGACCCGGACTCACTCCTGGGGGCTGGGGGTTGTGCAGAGAGCCCCTGCCGCCTCCTCCAAAGGGGCCCCCTTTTCCTAACCCTCACCTGTGGGCGCACTTGGCCCCGTCTCCCCTCCCCCACCCAGCCACCAAACCCCCTCAGGGCCCGTCCTGTACCACCTCCGGGCACAGCTCGGGGCAGCCTGAGGTGGGTCCTAACTCTGCCCGCCTTGCAGGGGATGACACTGCGCTCTGTTCTAAGATGTTTTGGGTGGTTTGGGATGGGCCATGCTCCAGCCCTGCCACCTGCTGTGCATCTTCCCTGCTGACCCTGAGCCCCTGGAGAGCAGCCCCCGTCTCTTCTCTCTGTTCTGCCGGGAGAAGTACCTGAAGGTGGGCGGGCGGGGCGGGCTGGGGCAGCAGGCAGTGGCCAGGCTCCAAGCCCAGGACGGTCGCCCTCCACCAGTCTCTAGGCCCCGGGCCCGGCCCCGCGCCAGGCTCTACAACGACATGGCCTCTGCCCACTGGGCTCCGGCCGGCTGGCCCGGGCTAGAAGGTCTGCTCCACCTCGGCCAGGCCCAGTACACCTGCCGGGAAGGGGGAGGGGACAGGGCTGTGCCACCCCCCTCAGACTGGCTCCCAGACGGAGCCACGCCTCCCCCCTCGGGCTGTGGAAAGCACTAGTGACCCCATGGAGCAGATGAAGAGAGCAAGGCTCGCTGACAGGGCCGAGGTCCCCGGGCTTGGCAGTGGCAGGGCCGGACTGGAACCCAGGTCTCCGGGATTCCTCTGCTCACTCACCGCGCGGGGCCGGTCTGAGGGCCAGGTCTGTGCCTCCCTGCTCAGCCTGGGTGGGCGGGCCTGGGGCCAGGCCGTCCCCACAGAGGAGCAGAACCTTCTCTCCTTTCCCCTCATTCCAGGCTATATTTAGGGGCCAAGCCGAGCGCGAGGCACACGGAGAGTGGGTGCCGTGCGCCTGCCGGCGGAGGGGGCCGCTTGCCTGGGGGCCCCTGTCCCCCCTCGGGACCAAGGGTCTGGCTGTGGGCTCGCCTGAGGCAGGGCCCAGGTTCGAGGCCTGGCCTGTCCCTCCCAGAGCTTCGGTTTCTCCAAGTGTGAGTGCAGGAGGCCCAGAGGCCAAGACAGGGACCCTGCCCCAGCTCCTCGCGGCAACCACACCACGAATCCGCTAGAAACAGCGGGAGGGAGGCTCTGCCGCTCCATGGCTGTGCAGGTGGGGAGACCGAAGCTCAGAGAGCGACGGGTGGTGCGTGGGGACCAACCTCTGTTGGCCCCTGTCACCGTGCAAACGCTCCCGTGGTACCTGCACTCCGGCCGTCGCCCGCCGGCTCTGCCGCCCCGCCCCCCCCCGCCCTGAGTCCCATCCTCCCACGGAAGCGTCGTGCACAGGCCCAGCCGTGGCCGGCTGGCAGTGTGGGGGCCCTGCGTGTGCACAGTGGGAGAGCCGGCAGGAGGGGGCTTAGGGGAGGTCAGAGGAGCCGCGTGACTAGGTGATGGGAGCACGCGGGAGCTGGGAGTGTGTCAGGTGGGCAGAGCACCCTGCTGAGGGTCACGTCCTTGACCAGAGCAGATTCAGGGGTTGGCAGGGGAAGCCATCCCAGTGGACTGTCAAGGAGCAGCGGGAGCTGAGGCAGTGAAGACCAATGGGGAAACTGAGGCCGGAGAACAAAAGTCCTTCCTGAGGCCATGGGGAAGAAGGAGGGGAGTGGGGGCCACTCAGCCCAGAAGCTCCCGGCCCAGGTCCTCCCCTGCCCCAGAGAGGGGTGGGCAGGTAATGTGTGCACAGATTCAGGAGGCCATCAGCAGGCCACCGCCCAGAAGGCCTGCCTCCACAGGCCAAGCCACTGGGTCTGGAGGCCCACCATTGCCTTCCTCATTGTTCAAAGCAAAATGAACAGATGCCCTAGAGAGGTCATTAAATAAGAATGACAGTACATAAGCCACAGTGAGAAGCGAGGCAGAGGAGTGGGTGCGGGGTGAGCTGTCTTATAGACAGTAGACTCACAGAGAGGCCGGGGGAAGAGATGATACACGCAGAAAGTCAGGGGTGAGGGCCCAGGCTGTGACTGGGATCAGGGCTCAGTATGTGACCAGGGTCAGGGCTCAGAGTGTGACCAGGGTCAGGATTCAGTGTGTGACCAGGATCAGGGCTCAGAGTGTGATGAGGGTCAGGGCTCAGAGCGTGACAGGGTCAGGGCTCAGAGTGTGACCGGGGTCAGGGCTCAGAGTGTGACGAGGGTCAGGGCTCAGAGTGTGACAGGGTCAGGGCTCAGAGTGTGACGAGGGTCAGGGCTCAGAGTGTGACCGGGGTCAGGATTCAGTGTGTGATCAGGATCAGGGCTGAGAGTGTGATGAGGGTCAGGGCTCAGAGTGTGACCTGGATCAGGGCTCAGAGTTTAATAAGGACTGAAGTTCATTGTGTTATTGGAATCAGGACTTGGTGTGTGACCAGGAACAGAGCTCAGAGTATGATCTGGGCCAGGACTCAGTGTATGGCAGGATCAAGGTTCCTGGGATCCTGTGTGGCTGACATCAGGGCTCAGCTTTGTTTGAGATCAGGGTTCAGACCCTTGTCGCTGGGAATCATGGTGTGCTTTGCAGACATCTCCATCTCTCCTCCCCTGTCAGGCCTCTGGGGCATCCTGAGCATCCTGCCATGCCCCTGCTGCAGAGGCCCCAGGCCCCCCAGCCCTGGCCTGGACCCCCCAGCACCTTGAGCCAGCAGCTGGCCAGCACGTGAGCCTGGCCCTGGGGAGTTTCCTGGAAGGGCAGGATCCCCGGAACCGGCGTCATCCTGGGACTATCTCCCAGAGGAAACGTTCTGTAATGTTTATTATTTGTCTCTCCCTGTGACACGGACTCGAACCTAGTGCAGACACACTGGAAAACCAAAAAGCATGTGGAAGGGAATCCAAAACAGCTGTTTGCCATGTCCCTGGAGCCGGATCTCGGCACTCCCCCATGCTTTGCCAAGGCTCATTTGTTTCCACGGTAGGCAGGCTGGGAGGCATCCCTCTCCTTCTTGGGGGCATTCTGGGGTCCCCCACTGCCTGCGGCTTGAGGTTCCCAGCCTCGCGGCCTCTGCTCACTCCTATTCATGCCCCCAGAACGTCTCTCCCTGCCTTAGATGTCCCGTGTGCTCCCCATCTGCCTGAGTTATCATTCACCAAACGCATCCATCAACCCTGCGTGTTAGGGGCTGGGGGTACCAAACAGAGGGCAGCCCAGCCCAAAAGGACTGGTGAGCTGAGACCTAGGCCCGCATGTGGTGGGTGCGGCCACGGGCCTGGGCAGCAGCTGACTCCTCCCAGCAGCCGTGGGGGCCGGCAGATGCCCAGGGCTGCGGTCCCAGAGGCAGAGGCAAAGCTGGGTGACCTCGGGCACGTGCTGACCTCTCTGAGCCCAAGGAGAGAGGCAGCCTACTGTCCTGCCTGGGCCTCCCTCCATGCCAAACTGGACCTTGAGCCTTAGCCAGCAAGGACTCCTCTGCTGTGCCTCCCCCCACCCACCACCAGGCTGGGAATTTGGTGCCCAGCCCCCAGCAGGAAGAACTCAGTACCCCCTGTCCACAGGGTGGAAGCTGCCAGAGTGAGCCTGTTGCCCAAGGCCAGGCAGACAGCCACGGGGAGTGGGCGGTGTCCGGTCTGCATGCAGCAGACACCCCACGTCCATGGGCCATGGGGGGGTTGCAGGGGGGGCAAGGTCTTCCTTTCCCCTTGCAGGTGGGGGAGGGCACATTGCGCGGCCGGATGTCCCACATACCCACCCTTCCTCCCTGCTTCTCCCCAAAGTCCTCTCCTTTCTCCAGGAAAAGCCAGAAATGTCCTTATTTGGAGCATCAGCCCGCCCGGCATGGGGGTGGGGGGCCTGTTAACCCTTCGTGTATAAATAGAGATAAATCTCAGCAAGTTAAACACAGCGGTGCAGGAACATAAACAGAATGGGCGGGCCCCTTACACTGCGGGGAGCACAGAGTTTATTTAACTCACACCCGCCTCACTGCTGTGGGGACCCGGCCCCAGGCTCAGGCCCCAGCGAGCACCCTGCGTGAGCCTCGAGCCTCCCAGACAACAAGGGTGCGCACCTCTCAGGGCCGGGGGGCCCGGGAGTGAGGGGGGAGGGGGCAGGCGCTTGGGTGAGGTTCCTTATGAGGACCCTAGCTCCAGGCATTGACCCGCCACCAGCCTTAGAAGAGGCAAGAACAGATGGGTGGGCTGGAGGACAGGGTCTGACGCGCCGGTGTGGGGGCAGCCAGGCGGGGCCGTCATGGGCCGGGCTCCTCTGAGCAGAACCGTGATTTATCTGGCAGCAACTAACACTGTGGTTTATCTGGCACAAGCTATGCGCTGGGCCATGCTGTGCTTAGTTCATCCTAGCAGCTCCACAACCCCAGCCATACAGGTTGGGACGTGAAGCACAGAGAGGTTAAGCGACTTGACTGAGGCTGCACAGCGAGTAAGGGAGGAACCAGGATTGGAGCCTGCGTTCAAACACCAAACACTTGGCTCCGCCGCTTACCTGTGCCACTGCCTTGTCTTCCTGGTTAGTCAAGGGACAGTCCTGCACAGCAAGGGTTTTTTTTTTACCTCCTGCTATATCAAGTCGTGGCTCAGACCATTAACACTCCACCAGAGCTCCACCCCGGCAAGGGCGAGGCCACATGGAATGGAGAGGGCAGGCATTTCGGGGCCGGGCCCGGTAAAGGCGCAAAGACAGGAATGCTGGGGACCTCGGTGAGCAGGCAAAGCCCAGCAGCACCAGCCTCCAGGCACGGCCCCGGGCACCCAAAGGTAACCCGTCTCCTTCCTTCCAGGCCCCTGGCGTGTGTGCTGGCCGCCGTCATGCCCTCTGTGTCTCCCGTGGGCTCCTGGGCCCCGGCGGCCCCCAATGCCACGGTGGCGGAGGCCAACGTCAGCATGCCAGAGAAGCCCCTGTTCCACGTGTTTGCCCGGCTGGACGAGGAGCTGCACGCCGCCTTCCCGGGCCTGTGGCTGGCACTGATGGCGGTGCACGGCATCATCTTCCTGGCGGGGCTGGTGCTCAACGGGCTGGCGCTCTACGTCTTCTGCTGCCGTACCCAGGCCAAGACGCCCTCGGTCATCTACACCATCAACCTGGTGGTGACCGACCTGCTGGTGGGCCTGTCCCTGCCCACGCGCTTTGCGGTCTTCTACGGCACGCGCGGCTGCTTGCGATGCGCCTTCCCGCACGTCTTCGGCTACTTCCTCAACATGCACTGCTCCATCCTGTTCCTCACCTGCATCTGCGTGGACCGCTACCTGGCCATCGTGCAGCCCGACGGTTCCCGCCGCTGGCGCCAGCCCGCCTGCGCCAGGGCCGCGTGCGCCTTCGTGTGGCTGGCCGCCGGCACCGTGACCCTGTCTGTGCTGGGCATGACAGCCGGCGGCCGGCCTTGCTGCCGCGTCTTCGCGCTGACCGTGCTGGAGTTCCTGCTGCCGCTGCTGGTCATCAGCGTGTTCACGGGCCGCATCCTGTGTGCGCTGTCCCGGCCGGGCCTCCTGCGCCAGGGTCGCCAGCGCCGCGTGCGGGCCATGCAGCTGCTGCTCACTGTGCTCATCATCTTCCTCGTCTGCTTCACGCCCTTCCACGCCCGCCAGGTGGCCGTGGCGCTGTGGCCCGATGTGCCGCGCCACGCCAGCCTCGTGGCCTACCACGTGGCCGTGACCCTCAGCAGCCTCAACAGCTGCATGGACCCCATCGTCTACTGCTTTGTCACCAGCGGCTTCCAGACCACCGTCCGAGGCCTCTTGCGCCGCCGCGGAGCCAGGTACGAGCCCGACAGCAGCAACATGGTCAGCATGCACAAGAGCTCCAGAGGCTCGGGCCACAATCCCATCCTCGGCGCCAGCCCTAGCGCCTTCACCCGGGACCTGGCCAACGGGCCTAACGCCTAGCCGGTGGGACTCTGCGAGAGGACCCGAGGTCAGGACTGGGCGCCGCAGGCCAGGTCCAGGACAGCAGGGACCTCTGCTCCGCTGGCGGGGGTGGGGGGTGGGGAGGGGGCAGCAGTCAGGTTCCCCCGGATTAACTGGGGGTGGCTGCCCAGCGCACTGCGTGGAGAAAGAGTCTGAGACCACACAGTGCTGTGGTTCACTGGCAATGTCTGCCACAGGCTCTGCAGGGGACGTGGCAGTCTGGAGGCTGATTGCTCGCCATGCCGGGGGCACAGACTGTGTCCAGTGAAGACTCAGAGGGGTAGCCAGGAGCTGCTTCTCTCCTGGTCCATCCTCACCCTGCAAGGACTCCTCAGAAACAGGGACTAGGAATCCTAAAAAGGTTCCCACCCCTCTTCCCCTCCCCTCCCGTGCCTGTCCCCCGACAGAGAGAAGAACAAGGAGAGAAAGGAAAAGCCAAGGGACATGAATGTCACATGAGCAGACAGGAGGGGTTCAGGTCCCCGGAAGACCGCTGCCCGAGGCCCCCGTGAATCACAGAGTACGACAGCATGACGGCCATGGGGTGCTTTGGTGGAACGGCTGTGACATCTGGGCTGATGCCTGACCCCGAAACACCCCACAGAGGAGAGGCTGTCCTGCCCATCCGGGGCGGGAGGGGTTAAGCAGCACGTACAAGTGGTGCACGGCGGCGTTAGAATCAAAACCCCGTCCCACCTCCTGCCACACCCCTGCGCCTGCCCCGTGGAGGCAGCTCCAATCTGCCCAAAGCCCCCACTCCAGGAATGACCTCAGAAGACCCTGCCTGCTGCCCCAGGAGGGCGGCTGGGCTCACGGCCCCATCCTATGGATGAGAAAACCAAGAGCAAAGACCTAGGGCAACGTGGAGCCAGGCCTACGGGCCTGAGGCTCCCATCTGCCCACATACGGAGCTCCTTGTTCTCCTCCGGGGGCAGAGAGCTCTGACCAGCGGCTCCTGCCTGGCTCGTCCTTTCTCGCCTGCCTTTCCTGGGGAGGGAGCGTTTTTCCGGCTTGGGTCTCTGATGCCTCCTCTGAGCTGCACTCCGGGATTGCCTCCACAAGTCTTCTGTGGAGCAGGAAGTTCCCTGAGCCCTTTGTAGACTGCTATAGGGGTAGTGGCCTGTTAGGGGAGAGGAGCCCTGGCCATTCCAGGCACCAGGCCCCATCCCGGCACTTGGCCACAGCCACTGAAGCAGGGTGAGACGGAATCTGGCCTCAGATCTGCCCAGCCCTAGAGGAGAGTCCTACCTGCTCAGTGGCCCCAGGCAAAATGCCCTGTCCTCCAAGTTCAGGGCCCTGGAGGGAGGCCCGCCTGGGAGGCAGGAAGGCCATTTATATCCCCAGGCTACAGATGAGAAAATGCAGTCTCGAAGAGGGAAAGGCCTGGCCAGGGTCGGAGCGAGCACCGGGCACTGCAAGGCCAGCGCTGTCTTTGCCAGACCCTGTGGGAGCCCCATGTGAGCAGCTCCTCCGACCCCAGGACACGTCAGCCCACTGCCTCCCTGCTGGAGGCCAAGGGAGTCCAAGGCTCCCTCGAGCCCTCGAGCAGGGTGGTGCTGCTGGGCCCCCAGGCGGGCTGCTTCCTGGGCTGGAGGCTGGAGGAGCAGTGGGCGTGGTGGTGAGCATCACGAGCATCGAAGTCCTTGGCCCTGACTGAGTGCCAGGCACGGTACGGGAGCCTCTCCCCTACCTCGCTCCGAGCGGGGCTGTGGCTCACCAGGGACCCAGAGCTGCACGGGGCAGAGCAGGGACCTGGGAGCCCATGGCAAGAGGGATGCTGAGCCGAGGGACCGGCACTAATGGTAGATTTTCAGGCAGGGAAGCCCCCACGGAGCTCTGTCTGTCCCCGGCCCTGCATCTGGCCCCTGGGCAGGCGCGCGGTTTGGGGGGGGGGGGGGGGGGGGAGGGTCAGTGTCAGGTGTTTGCCCCAGTGAAGCATCACCTGTGGGCTCTCTTCCTCCGTCAGCTGCCCCTGGTTCTCATTCTCATTCACGCTCAAGAGTGAGTAGCTGGCGACGGACTGCTGTGTTTGGGGCTGGAAGTTTTTCCGGCAACAGTCCCTTCCTCTAGGAGGAGGGGTCTCTAAAGTAGGTGAGCCAGCGGGGATCTGGGAAAGAGTGACCGGACTGGGTCTGTCCCGCCCTGCTTCACAGCTGTTGTCTCGTTAATCCCCACCGTGTATGGAGGGAAGAGCCATGGGCAGCGCTGGGATCCGCATCCAGGAAGGCGCCCGAGCCCCCTCCCCTTGTCTCCAAGCCTGAAATCCCACCATCCAACCTGGGTTTTGCAGGGGGAGCCTTCCACCACTCAAGCTTGAGAGGGTGGCCACCCGTCTTCTGCAGCTGGGGCGGGAATTGGGGGCTGACCTCGCACCCCCGAGAACTCAGCCTGACGGCCCCACACACAGGGCTCTCTCTAGGTGGCCCCAGTGTCCCCCGGGTCTCCACTGCTCTCTCTCCTCTCCTTGGCCTTGCAGCTGGAGAGGGGGGGGCTGGGGAATCACCCCACAGCTCTCTCAGAGGCTTGATCCCACCTCCTGACGTCTGGCTCCCTCCTACCCTGGCCTCTTTGTCGGGACTGAGGCCCAGAGGCCGACCTGGACTGTCCTTGTGTTCGCATGGGGGCCAGGGTGAGAGGCCCCCGCACCCCCTCCCCATGGCCTCCCTTCCCTGATTTTCAAAAAGCCCAAGTGACATGACATGGTGTGTGTATTTATATCTGATGTAAACAATCCCCTTAACAAGAAGTCCTCATCCTGAATTGAACCTGTTTATTCCCTTAGTGCCCTCAACTCAGCAAGCACGGGGCAGGCAGGGGTTGCCGTGGGGCGCTGAGCCAGGCAGGAGCCTACACACCCCCAGCCCCCTCACCGGCCAGGGACAGCCTGTGGTGGTGGGGATGCCCCTGCGTCATCCCTGGGTCCCTGGGGGCGGGGCGGGTGGGGTTAGGGACCCGGAGCCCCGCGCCTACGAAGGGCAGAGGACGGAAGGAGTACAAGTTGAGGAGTTTGGAGTAGGGTGCAGGCACAGGAGCTGCGGTTGGGGCGCAGACCAGCAGAGCGATGGGTCCTCACCCCATCCTGGTCCCCACCGTGCCCACCCAGGGGGAGGCGCCCACAGTGCCCCATCATATCACCAGGTGCCATCTGGGGGTGTGGGGGGGGACATGGGTCAGTTGGCAGAGGGGGAGGGGGCTCTACCTGTGGGCTTGCAAAGTGCCACCAAGTTGTCCTGTTCTCTGAACCTGCCCAGAACAGAAGCCTGGGAGGTGGGGGGATAGTCATCCCCGATTTACAGATGGGGAAGGGGAGGCTCTGGGCATCCAGGATGGGCTGAGCCCCTGGGCACCCGGTTCCCGCCTAGCAAGGCGGCCTGGGTCCCCTGCTCCTCGGCCTGGGAGCCCTGGGTGGGAGGGGGCGTGGCTGGACGCCGCTCATCACTCTGCTGTCTGGCGCTCTCTGAGGCGGAGGCGGCGGAGGTAAATATTAGGGCCTGTTTAGATTAAGCTCCATTAATAGCAGAAAATGTCACTGCGGCGCCCGCCTCAGCTTCCTGGGGGCCTCCGGTGCCTGGGGCAGGCGTGGAGGGCCCTGTGGGAGACAGATGTCCCCCCTGACGCCGCGGATCCGACCCTGCACTGCCCCCTGCCTTCTCACACGCCCTCCCCTCGCTCAGGAGGCCCTCCGTGCCCGGTGCCCAGGGGCCCAGGAGGCAGGTGCCAAGGAGGTGAGGACATTCAACCGGCCAGGGGCAACCCCCACACGGGGTCTGTGTTCCCAATTCACAGAGGAGAACACTAAGGCTTGGAGACGTGAGGGGACCCACGCAAGGCTGCCCTGTGCCACCCAGACCTGCCTGCTCCCAGGGCCAAGGCCACCCCCACCCCCTGACCACGGCAGGAGCCAGGGAAGCTGTGGCCCATTGCACTGAGTCTGGGGAAGGGAGGGCGTGCCCTGGTGCAGGAGGGAGCAGGGCTGGACCAAAAGGGGAAGGGGGAAGGACGGTGGGGGACAGGCCTGGGGGAATGGTGTTTCCCTGGCTTGTGTCATCACCCTGCCCCCCATTTCCACATGACCCCCTGCCCCGTGGAGCCTCCCCAGACCTCCCAGACAGGCCCCTTCCCCTCCCCTGGCAGCCCCTCTCCCCCGCTGCGCTCAGAGCTCCCCACGCTCTCCCCTGGGGCCTTCCATTTCTATGCAGTGTCTGCCCAGCCCCAGCCCCAACTGTCCACCTCTCACCTCTTGGGTCCCTTCCCTTCCCTTCCTCTGGCCCTGGGGCCAGCCTGCCGGAGTCCTCCCCACCCCAGCGCAGGACAGACCGCCCAGCCCAGCCGTCCCTCAGGACTAGCCTCCCACCTGACCATCGGGCTTGGTCCCTCGCTGAGCCCTCAGGGACTCTGCAGGGCCCCTGGGAGTCCAAAGCCTGGTGGCACAGCTGGGGTGCTCAGAGTCCTCTGCCATGCCAAATGGGACCAGCCAGGCAGGGGCATCCAGGAGGCCTTCCTGAAAGACGAGTTTCGAGGCCCTTGCCTCCCGGTCCTCACCCTGCCCACCTGGCACGCCGCCCCCTCCCAGCTGGGCGTCTCCTTGAGGTTGTGCTGCTGGGAGCTTTTCAAGCATCAGGTGACCCCGGAGCCTCACAGGCTGGCAGGACCAGTGGACGCTGGGACCACGCACAGTCCCCTGCTGCACTAACTCTGGGACCCCCCTGAGCCTTGGCCTCACCGTCCGTAAGGAGGAGCCTGCTGCCCAGACTGCAGGTGCCCCAGGACTGAGCAGCCCTGGCCCCACTCCCAAGACGACAGTGAGGGGCTGCGGAGCCTGGCAAGGCAGGCGTTCCTCCGAGGGCCCCGAGACCTCAGCCTCCTCCCTGCCCCTCTCCCGGCCTGTTTCCCCAGCTGTAACCCAGAGCTCAAAACAAATGGCTTCCCAGCCTGGTGTTGGATCCTGGGGTCTAGTTGACAGAAAGGACTTAAATGGG